CCATTCATCTACCTAAATTTTTTAATTTGCTTTTTAAAAATCCAGTAGGGTCAGTCCTCCCTCATCACTTTTGTTTAAAATATTTTTTTCCTGCTTATTTTTGAATTGTTAAGAACAGTAAGTTTTTACCTAACAATAAAGTAACTTGTCCAAGGATACACAGCTAAACCCAGTTACCCGGGAGCTGACAGGGCCACAAGTTCAAGGCCAGCCTGGGCTACACAGTGAGACCTACTCTTAAAAAACAAAACAAACACACCAAAGAGTTTCAACTAATAAGCAGGCCCACAAAAGCTGGGTCTCTGGGTGGGTATCCACAATTCTCTCTTGTTGTTACTGTTGTCTTTTTGAGACAGTCCAGGTATCCCAGGCTGGCCTTGAACTCATGATCCTCCTACCACAGTCTCCCAAGTGCTGGGATTACAGGTGTGGCCACCACACCCATCATTGTGTTGACTTTTTACACAACCTTTAGTTATAGCTCTTCTGACTCCAAACTTAGGAGGGGTTTTTGCTGGAGTCGTTATATTATAGACTTACACAGAGAGAACGTACAAATTGGCATGCTGGATCTTCCAATCTAAGAGCATTTGTTCAACCCTCTGAAAACTTCAGTAGTGTGTTAAATTTTCTTCATATAGGTCCTGACTTTTCTGCTAACTTTATTCCTAAGGTTCTTTTTTTTGGGGGGGGGGTGGTTAGGATCTTTTCTTCCATTACATTTTCTAATGGCTTATTGTTTATAGTTTATATTTAAGAAGGTATTTGGTATTTTAAGAAATGGCTTCATAGCAATCATCATAATGTTTAAAGTCTTTCAATTCAAAGCATGTTGCCACAATAGTTCTTATACAATGGGAAAACTGTTAGAATCTCTCTGTAGCTGTGACACAATGCCTGAGATAAACATCTGAAAATGAAAGGTTTATGGAGGCTCGTGGTTTCAGACGTTTTTTAACAGGTAGGGACCAGCACAAAGGAGCAAAAGGCAAATGAATTCAGGCCTTTATGACTCATTCTTGTCTGAATCATCTTCCGACAGCTTTGTTACAGGACACCGGATCAGGCCGCAAGGCCAGTGTTTAGTGTTTACGTCCAGACCTCCAGGTTGCATGGTGACAGAGACCTGGAGTACTAACAACCAGGAAAAACCTCATCCTGTAAGATGGTCCTGGCTAAGTCCTCAGAATCAACTCAGTGTCAGTCTATCTGCAAAATCACAGCATTTGCTCTGAGTTGACTTAAAAGTCACTAATTCTGACTAATTCTGGTGTCACACAGTTGACAGATACATTACTGGCTGCCCTCTAAGCTCCCTGGAGATAACACCTCTAACCTGTGGGCTACAGCAGTTGCCCAAGGGTACTTTGCAGAAATTTGAAGGCTGCTTTGGCAAACACACTGACTGTTCACTGGAGCAGACCAATACCCAATGGGTGACTAAAATAAGGTGAAAACCTTCGCATCTGTCTTCATGTTGTCTCTGTCCTCTTGGCTGTCTTAACCTTTGGGTACTATTTTACTGAGCACGAAAACAGACTGATTGCTTTAAAAAATGTTTTGCAGGGGTGATGTGTGGATCAAGTGGTAGAGCACCTGCCTAGCAAGCATGAAGCCTTGAGTTCAAACCCCAATACTGTGAAAAAAAAAAACAAAAGTAATTTGTGTTAACTTCAACTCTCAAGTAGGATTCCTACTTGGTTGTGCTACCTGCTTTAATTTTGTGAAGCTTTGAGATTTTTACTACTTACCGAGATTGGCATTTGATTACCTCCCATAAGACAAATACCAAATGCAGCCTCATTTGCAGTGGCCCCCAAATGGAAGTGATGTATCTATCAGTAATGGTCTGTTTGAAGAAGGTGTAAGAGGTCTATAATTGAACACCGACCTTTAATGAGAACGTTCTCTTTGTACTAAGTGGGCAATGTCCAGGATTACATTTAAAAAGCTGATGTGCAAATGCGCATTTTAATAAAATGCCCCTGGTTAAGTAGTGCTGATGACACCAGTGACAATGTGTGCCTCTCCCTGGGGCTGTGTGCACAAACCTCTGAAGGATGAGTTTGTAGCAGTTGCTTCAGAGGGGTGCCAAGTCAGAAGCAGGCAGCAGTTACAGGAGTACTTTCCTTCCACTCAGTACTTATTTCTAATGCTTGAATAACACGTCCTCTGTCTTACAATAGAAAAGCTAAACTCCAAAAGGTCTACAATCCTCACACTGATGGAGGAAAAGCCCATGTGCCTGTTCCTAGGTCACTTCCAGAAGACAGCAATGGTACTGCTCAGCCAGATTTTGACAAACTCGGTTAGACAAAGTCAGCAATGCTGTCAGGATGGAAGCAAGCTGCCATTTCTACTCAGGCCAGGCGACAGTGATGCTGATGTGACTAGGGGACAGCAGATGGAGCAGGGTCTGAGGTCATGGACCTCCAGGGGAAGATGGAAGACACCTGCCAAGCACATAGCAGGCTCTCAGCATTTGTAGGATGGACAAGCTGCGGGGAGGCGAGTGTGGAGAGACCTGTAGTACGGGGACAGCCCTCACTGGGACTTCAGCCTCATGGCCCTGCTTCATGCTGTCAGCACACCTGACAGCAGCAGGCTTTCATACCACAAGCCTCCTGGACTTTCTTGGTCAGTAATAGTTCCAGTAGGTGGACTGAGTTCATGACACAGGCCAAGGTCACTAACATCTGTTTCTCAAGAGCTGTTTTGCTTTAAAAAGCAGGATGGTCCTGAACTTAGAAGTCTGACTTGGGGCTTTCTGACTTCATCCAGGAGGAGGCATGTTTTGACTGTCAATCTTTTCCCAGGCTGTCCTTGTGACCTCCGTCAGTCATGTGATTGAGAGCATTCAGTAAATTGCAGGGGACATTCAACTCCTTCCTTCCCTGGTTGCAGGATGATTTGTATGCTGAGTGTGTTAAGGCAGACGGGCTGAGCTCTGTCATCAGGTACACTGGGCTCATGGAATCCATCTTCTGCCTACACCATTTCCACCTTGAAATGTTTGTTAGGACCTGACCAGTCCACTGTATGTCGAAGCATACAGGTATCTGTAGGCCAGAATCATGAAGAAACTAAAAGGTCAAAGTTTCCTCCCTTACGATCTTTACTTACAATTACGATTTTAGATAATGCTCTTTAGGGTTTGGAAGGTGTAAATTTGTAAAGTTCCACATATTACTAGTTAGTTACTTACAATAAATGTTTATAGGTAACTTCAGATTACTTTTAGTTGAGTAATTCACAAAATAAATATTTTGTCAAAACTCCCTTCTTTGTTACAAGTTTTTAAAGTGTATTAGCTTTTTGTTGCTGCAGCAAAACATCTGAGCTAATCCACTTAAGAGGAGAGCAACTGGCTGTTTCAGAGGTCTTGGTCCCTGGTCACTTGGCCATGTGGCAGAGAAGAGCATCATGGCAGGAGCCTGTAGAAGAGGAGCCCGGGGTCCCAATGAACTTTTCAAGGGCAGCCTTCTGACTGCTGTCATTAGGTCACACCTCCTAACATCCCACCACCTCCCAGAAACATCATAGGCTAGTAACCAAGCCTTCGACATGTCTGTGGGAGACATTTAAGATCCAAACATAGCAAATTGTTTACAAAAATAACAAAATAATGGTAAGAATGAACCATGGAGGCTGGTGCAGTGGTCCACACCCATAATTCCAGCTACTTGGGAAGTAGAGGTCAGGAGATCAAAGTTCAAGGCCTGCCTAGGCAAAGTTACTGAGACCCCAACTCAACCAATAAGCTGGGTATAGTGGCACAACTGTGATGCTAGCTATGTGGGAGGCCACAGGTAGGACTGTGGGCTGAGGCTTGCCCTAGGCAAAAATGCAAGACCATACTGAAAAATACCTAAAGTGAAAAAAGGCTGGAGGTGTGACTCATGAAAAAGCACCTGCCTAGAAAGTATGAGGCTGTTTAAACCTCAAAACAAAACAAAAAGGAAAAAAAAAACCCAAAAAACCAGTGGAGACAGATGTTAAAATCTTGACTTTCAAATATAAATACTCAAAGATGACATTTTTGTTATTAAGGTCTTAAAGTATGGAATAACTGAGAAAACACAATGGAAATCCTATAGCAGTAAGATTGCCCGTGGGCCTGAGGATAACTCAGTCAGTCCTTACTTGTCTGTGAAAGGTGATAAAGGATGTCTGGTACCTTTTTGTCTTGGTGTTTCTCATGCACAATCCTTATGTGACAAAGGTCAAACAAGTTTTTGAAATAATATTTTTCTATAAGACAATAGATAGCCATGCCCCTAATTCACTTAGGAATGTTGCTGTCAGTCTACTCACTGGTTGTCTGTCACCTAGATTGTGAAGGTAAAATCTGAGACTTCACATCTGCTGAGAGGCCCAGTGTACAAAGCTGCATGTAAGCAGCCTTCACAGAAATGACCAACACTGCCAGCATGCCAGAAAGCAGCCTGGCTGGGACCACGAGGTGCCTCTGAAATTCCAAACACAGCAATCTGGGTAGAATCAATTATTCCCCACTGCAGTTGTGAAGGAAGGAAAGCTGCTCTTGACTGACTTGTACTTTGCCTCAGATTTTATGGTGAGGCCTCCCTCTCTCCCAGGGCTCTGTGAAGCTTCCCATGGTCCTTGGGTTCTAACCCACACTTACACATTCTTCTGTTTCCTACTCTGATGTGTGTGCTGAACATGCAAACCTCTGCATCCCAACTTCGCCATTTCTGGGTCTGAACTCTCAGGGTTGTCACATCTCCCCTTACACACATGCACACTACATAGTGATCATGGTATTGCTTACACATCTTTGATCATTTAAAAAAGTTCTTCTCAATACCTATAGGAAGATTTTATACTTCCTATATATGTTTTAATTAAATATTCTTTAAATAATCAAGCACTGAAAACTCCATAAAAATATTATCTTAAAGTGGCTGAGGTTCTTTTCCCTTAAGTGTTCTAACCTGGGACGGGTCTTCTGAGACACACCCACTTGTATTCCACGGGGCTTGTGATTCTCTCTCCATAAGCTTTATTTCCAGATCCCTGTAAGAACAGAGCCGGTCTACACTGACTGTGTGGTATGCTGGGTTCCAGACGTCTTTAGCACACAAGGAGGAATGTACAACACTGCAGCCTGCTTGGCCAATCTTAATTGCGGAATTTTTTCTTCTTTCGGAACTTCTTCCCTGCGGCATTTGCTGCTTTCTCAGCCATGATCTCTGAGTACTTCCTTCGGTTATATCTGGAAAGAGATTAGATCTTTATGTTCTGAGCATGACGAAGCCAGCAGACATCAGAGGCTGATGTACCCTCCCGAGGCCACTGTGTTTCTGTTTATCACGTTACACTAAGTTGCCATGGCGTCTAAGGAGCCACCCAGGACTGGGAGCAAAGCAGTGGGCAGGCACTTCTAGTCTCTGCCATCACACATCACTAGATCCACTTACCAGGTGATATTATTATAGGATGTGAGCGTGACATAAAGACACAGAAAGGACAAAACACAACAGTTTACACATGACATCATCCATCTGTTAAAACCTTAGAAAACATAATATGGACCAATGGTTTTCAGAGTGTGAGCTGTAGACAAGATACTTTCAAGAGGTCCGTTAGGTAAAAATTATTTTTATGCCAGGCGCAGTGGCTCACACCTGTAATCCTAGCTACTCAGGAGGCTCACAGTATCCTTTTCGTCTTGGTTTTTCTCATGTACAATCCTTATGTCAGCCTGGGCAAACAGTTCTCAAGACCCTATCCTGATCCTTCACAAAAAAAGGCATGGTAAAGTAGTTCAAGGTGAAGGCCCTGAGGTCAAACCCCAACACCACACACAAACTCACTCTCTCTCTCTCTCTCTCTCTCACACACACACACACACACACACACACACATATCACATCACATCACAAGAATACTAGGGCACCCCCTGCCCTTTATAGAGTTCCCAAGACTACAGGAGGGAGGTGTGGTATTTGCAGCAGATATGAACTGTCTTTATGCCACATGTAAGAGACTTTCACTAAATTTTTTTGTTATTCTCATGTAAATATATATTCATGTTAATATGTAATGGGTTATTTAAATGAGTTACTTAGTATTTTAATTACTTGAAAGTTTCTAAGTTTATGCATGTTGTGAAGAAAAACATTTCTGTAAAGTGAACTACCCATCCCATTACCTTCTGAACTCAGAGTCGGCCAGCAGCTCTTCCACAATGGTTCTCTTCCTTTGCTTCTTGGGAACTCGTGAGTGGTAGAAGTCAGCTGGATTGTCAACGATGGTTCCAATCTATGAACAATCAATCAACTGTTAAGTCATGCTACCCCAGAATGCCAACCTGCTTCTATATTTCAGAGCAGTTGTAACAATGCATTTATAGAAAGGATGGAAAACACAAGCTGACGCTGTACCAGTCTTAAAGTTAGTCTTGTCATTATAAGCAAGTATAAACCACCTTATTAGTCACTACACTGGTTCTTCATTGGAGATAATAGCAGATCCAAAACTGATTTCATGTAATTCAGTGCCAACCAGTAAATTCATGAAGAATAGTGTAACCAAGGAGAAAAGTATAACAGTTAATGTAAACTTGATTTTCCAATTCAATGAAATACACATAGCTGTTACTAGAGGCCCACCTGATTTCCTAAGGCTGTAAACACTGCCATCTAGACCCTGCTGAATGACAGCTCCTTGTTTCCTTTACTAAGCACTCATGAATGCCCACTGTGCTAGGTGTTGGAGAAACAAAGAGCATCTAGTCCCTGCCAGCAAGGGGCCTGGGTCTCAAGGAAGATCAAACAGCAAACTGAAACGTTAAGGTTCTCTGGAGATGGAGCACCCAATGCTACCTGAAGGAGGTTGAGGGAGACTTGACAGAGGATGACATTTTAGCTTGGATTCGTATAGGTCAAATTTCACCACGAAAACAAGGAGAGCCAAGTACATTCGTGCTCTGAGAAGACTAAGCAGCTGCGTGTGTGTGAAAGTAAAGGGCCTTGATGGAAGATGGGCTGTCGATGAAGGGCCAAAGGGAGAGACTACCCTGAAGGTCATAGTAGCTCAGAGTAGGAATATATGACTGACTACAATATGGAAGAAGGAGCAGAAGGAGAGCATACTTGGAGAATAAGGACTATCCCAGTAATCCAGATGGGTGACAAAAAGGTATTCTTTAAACAACCAAGACTTGAAGAACGAACACTTGATGAATCAACTAAGCTTTCACGTGGAAACACTTTGACTCCCTCTTCTTCCTCCATCCTGCATGGACTCTTGCTCTTAGGCTGGTAGTACTCATATAATGACCTCAAAGATTCAGCTTTACAGCTGACCTGGAAACCCAACTACCATGTTTAACCCTCCTCTTTACACTGGGAGCCCATCACAAGACAGTGGGTGTCTGAATTATGCTTTGGTCGTTTTCATATGGCCGAAACAGAGGTGGTCTGCACATCAGGTGTGTACACACACTTATCTATCTTAGTAGTAAACAGAAAGATCTCTGTACTTTCCAAATTAAAATCCATAGAACAAAACCACTATTTTGTTTTCTCCATACCTGGAAGTACTTAGGGAAGCCATCTCTATCATTTTTCTTATAAAACCTTTTTGGGTCCATGCTTGCTCTCATCTTCAGTGCTTTGAGGTCATTTTTCAGTTCATCTGTCAATTCTGGAGCTTTCATACCAAACCAGCCATTGCCTGCTGTTTGCTCTCGCTCTTTCTGAAATTCAGATTTCAAAATTAAACATTCTAATTTTAATATGCTAAGAGTACACATAACTTGTTTCCACCAAAATTATACAGAATATTTCATGAATTAAAAAGTTGCTTTGTAGAAAGTATTTATCTCTAGGACCATCTTTATAAAAAAATTAAATCACAGCATCTTCTCTGGTAAATTAGGCATAGCATTATCAGTTTCATAAATGAAGGGTCCTCAAAATCTATTTTGTATCACATTAGGTAACTTATGACTCGCTGTAAGGTTTAACTTTTAGCACTAAAACATCGTCTTCTACATAAACAGTAACATTTTTATTCAGTTACCTAAATGTCTTAGAAGTTCCTCACTGCAAACAAGTTCACAAACTCCTATTACTTAGTTCATAGTATTTCTCAACTCCTTGCAAGCATTTGTTTCATTCGTGGTGCCAGGACGCTCTGCAGCAATGACATCATGGGGCATGAGCCCCAGCATTCCTCCAAGATCCCTCAAAAGCCTGATGTCTATTAGTTCAAATGTTAGATGGAAGCAAGCCTTTTATTTTGCCAAATAAAATAGCTTCCGTCCCCTCATTTGTCAGACTAAACAGACCAAGGTAGCTGGTTGTCTACCATGAGTTTCCTACAAGAGTGCAAGAGGGCCTAGCCAGTAGTAAACAGCACATCAAAGCCAAGCTAACCTGTATGCCTGCTGTCACTGTTAGCAAGATCTATTTTAAAAAATTCTGTTTGTGGGGCTAGGGGTACAGTTCAGTGGCAGGCCCTGGATTCAATCCCAAGAACTCGAGCACGTATACTCACATACACAGCTGTATGTGTGTGTACCACTGTGGCTGGAAAATGTGAAAATCCATACTGAATGTGTGAAGGAACCATAGTTTATGGCCCTTAGATACCTGTAATAGCTTTCTTTGTAACTGCATGTAGCTATAGGTGGATACCTAGATGGAGTTTAGCCATACGATCATGTTGTATGAGCTGACATACAGTACACATAATAATAAGTCATTGTGCTTACCCTGCGCTTTTTCTGAAGCTGATGCTTTGATTCACTGTATGGCGGCACACAATCATTCTTTTCAAAATCAGGTGTAATAACGGCTTTTTGCAGAAGCTATAAAAATATAAAATTGGTTTTTATATAACTTTTCCACATTTTAGGATCATTAAATATTCTCATCCTGTTGGTGTGATTACAAGGAGCTCCAAGGCAGTATTTTCCCCAGCGTAATCCAAATCAAACGCCTGAGTCCTAACACTGCTCACAGGAGCACCACTAAGCATTAACTCAGCACTGCCACTTGAAATCATGGATTCCACAATTAACACTCAGGTTCAGGCCTAGAGATTTCGGGTGGTAGAGAAGCTGTCTTTCCTATCACTTACAAACAGGTGATCAAGACCTTGTGGTACACCACAAGGCTCTATGACAGTAGTTCTCAATTGGGAGCAGCTGACAGTGCCTAGAAATATTTCTGCAGTGCTGGAGGGAAGGAGAGTGCTACTGGCCTCTAAGGGATACTACTTAACATCCTGCAACACACAGAGGACCTCATCTCACAACAAGAATTACATGCTCAACACTTCCGCAGTGCTGAGACTGACTGGGAAACCCTGCTGAGTGAATCAGATGCACACTGAGTATTACATAAGCACAGAGGAAGTGGGGGAGGTGTTAAAAGAGTATGTCCCAATACAGTGACATACGAAGGGCAGAGTGTGCTCAGGAAATGGCAGCAGTCTTCAACAGCTAGAACGAAGCAGATGGACGGTCAGAACTAGAGTACAGTGTACAGTGGTGCTCTGAAGGTCTGAGGAACCACTGGAGGACTTAAGGAGGAGGCCGTGTCAAGTTGTATTTTATTTATTTTTGAGGCCGGGTGTTGCTATGGAGCTCAGGCTGCCTAGAACTCACAATGGAGTCCACGCTTGCCTTCAGCTTGTGATGGTCCTGCCTCAGCCTCCCAAGTGCTGGGATAACACTTGTTTTTAAGAGACTTGTTTTTAGAGACCTTCAGAAGTATGGAGGATGGCTTGAAGAAAAAAATGGAGGCAAGATCAATCAGGTTACTGGAGTAATCTAAGAAACAAAGGTCTGTACTAATTGATGACAGTGTCTCAAAAAGGAGGAAGGACAGTGGTCCCAAGGCTTGGTGACTGAGGGCAAAAGGGAAAGAGACTGTGTCATTACCTAGCAGAGAATACAAAAGAAGCTAGCTCTGACAGGGAAGAGAAGGAGAATCAGTGAGGTCAAGTGCCTGATCACATCTAAATGCACAGACATCTGGATCCAGACCAGACCTTTCATAAAGTCTGAAATTAAGAGTCATCAAGACTAGAGAATGCAATGTGGATGACACATGGAGCCCAAGGCTGCTAACAGATGAAGGGAGAGAAAAATCTAAGATTATAGGAGAAAAATAAATCCCCCAAGTGATAGGAACAAAGGAACCAGTCTTCCATTTTGCTACCTTTCTTGTTTACCACAGTAACAAACTGGAGACAGTACTTTCCATTAATCAAAGAAAGTATGTCATCTAACCTCTTAAGAGCTGAGTACTAAGGCTATTCCCATCATCTTACAAGATGCCAAGGAGATCCTCCAAGTCCAGATCCTTAAAATGATGCTGGTCAGTAGAATGGGGAAAGGAAGAACAGTATTCATCTATGAGGTAATAGGAAGTGATGAAAGACAAAGGAGGGAAACGGTAACAAAAACAGAGAATTTAAGCTGGGCACAGTGTCTCCCACCTCTAAAGCTAGCTGCTTGGGAGGCTGAGATTGGAATGGTCATAGTTCAAGGCCAGCTCAAGCAAAAACTTAGTGAGATCCCATTTCAACAATAGCTGGATGTGGTAGTGTGCACGTGTCATCCCAGCCACAGTAGGAAGTGTAAAATAGGATTGTGGTCCACGCTGACCTGAGCAAAAAAAGAGAGACTATATTCTGAAAATAAGCAAAAACAGAGGCATGGCTTAAGCAGTGAGCATCTACCTCACAAGCATGGACCCCCAAGTAAAAACCCCAGTACTGAAAAAAAAAAGTTAGTTCTGAAAAGAAAAGTCCTTGCTGCCGGGATACATATTGCTAGAACCAGTGAGCTTTCCAAATCTCAAAATGGGAAAAATTCAATTTTTAGTAATATAGTTAACATTTACGGTTTTCACTTGTTTAAATCCCAAAGAAAAGGGAGCTCAGCCATTTCCTGTAGAAGTAAAGACAAAGGATAGACGAGTCAAAGCTCTAATGCAGCTCCCGCTGTCCCACTGCACAACCTAAAAGCCAGAAGTGTCCAGAAGTGTTCCATATGCAGAGGTGGAAAAATGATTTGGCTCCAGATTAAGTAACAATGAATCCCACCTCCCTTCCTCATGTCACTTTGGTATCCATTTTACAGAAAACATATTCCCCATAGCTTCAAAAATTAAAACCTAGGAGCCCAAGGCCATTATGCAATAATTCTGCATACGTCTCCTCACTCCTGTGCTTGTCAGGAGCCCACCCAATGTTAACTTGGCTGTGAATCAACTGCCGTAACCTTCGGTGGGAGAGGGAGAAGGAGAGGATTAGCTGGACTGGGAGACCAGAGAGATTGGGAAGGGGTGAGGACTTCATAAGGTTGGCCTGTCCGAGCTTGAGAAGAATCCAAGCTAGGGGCAGCAAGGGATGGCTTTGTCCTGGAGAAACCTGTGGGTTGTGCTAATTTCTATGCATGAAGTAGGGTAAACAAAAGCTTGTGGAGGAAGGGGACCCAGTTATGTTATTTTTGGACTGTGAATTTTGCTGAGGTAAAACAGTATTCTGTAAACTTGATGTGTATGTATGAATAAGGAGCATTAACACAGAAAAATGGGAAGTAAAATACAAACAATTCTCCACCTGCTGGGGAAGGTGGAGCGGCTCAAGCTGTAAGGTGCCTGCCTGGCAAGTTTGAGGCCCTGAGTTAAAACCCTAATACTATCTCTCTCACTCACACACACACACACCAAAACCAAACACACACACACATACACACAAACTAGAAAATACAAACTTGAGAGAAAGGAGTATAAGATGCTGGCAAAGGCTAAAGGTATAGGTAAGATTATGCTGATAGAAACTATATGCCTGTATACATTTTCAGGTGGGGGAGGCAGACTTGGCTTCAGATTCTTTACGAAGAGAGGAGGGGAGGGGAGGGGAGGGGAGGAGGAAAAACCCCTAGGAGTACAGAGGGGAGGGGAGAAAAAACCCCTAGGAGTACAGCTAGTGGATCAAGAAGAAATACTGATCTTGAATTAATTTATTTTTCAAATACCTTTTATAGATGAGACCATTATAAAAAGAAGTGATTGCTTCAGAGAGACGAAGGGGAAAAAAAAAAAAAAGCCCATCAGGCCAGTGTGGTGTGACCACAGGAAAATGAGTCGTTTTCCAGGCCTGAGCATTCCTCAGGAGGACAGGAACTTGGTGTACCTTACCTCATTCTTCTTTTTCTCCTTGATCTGTGTTAGGGTTCTCTTAGATTGCAGTCTATCTGCATTGAAATTAATGTACAAACCACCCAATGCTTGATATTCAGACCAGGGTCTATGCTGGAACTTGTCAACTTCAGACTGAAAGAGAAATGACCATTTAAAAGCAAATAATTAAATCAAATGGAAATAAGATTACATTTTAAAAATCCTTTTACTATCAATGACAAAAAAAAGAGTATCTTATTTTTCAATGGAGTTCTTGAAAAACTGAATAAATAAACCTATCTTAACCTAGTACATTCATTCATAAGAAACTCTAGGGAGAATAATGAACTTAAATGAAAACAAACTTATTCCTTAGATTTTCTAAAAGGAGATAGACATGTAATAACATGCCAAGAGATTTCATAAAGAGATCTGATAAAGAAAAACATCACAGAAGGGGAGGAGGGAGTGTACCTGGCAGTTTAGTACAACTTGAGATGGACATCTCCATGTCTAAAACAGTAAGAAAAACAGGCTCTTCTACTCTGAATTTCCAAGTCACCAAAATTTAAAATTCTTTCCTGGGTAACAAAGGCCACTTGTAGCACCTCTAAATTGGTGAGTCTATCCCACAGGAGCACTGTAAGAAGATAAATGTGGTACCTCAGACCTACCACATCAGAACTCTCTGCGTCATGAGAATTTTATAAGCAAGGGCACTCAGGAAATAAGGTACTCCCTTCCCTGATTATCCAAATAAACTGACCAGCACACCAGCCACCACTGGAAACTGAGTTCAATCCATGTCAGTGCCTCAGCAGTGATCCTTAATTCTGAGTGCACTCAAGTCAAAACTGAAAGGACTACAGAGGATTTTCTCAATCTCTACAATTAACATCTAGATTAAACAAGTACTTTCCTTTCCCTTCTGCACCGCCCTTAATCACGCAGGAAAATCTCAACAGATGATTCTAATGCATCAGCAACAGACCTTTTAGCTGTCACCCGTGGGCAAAGTACAACTGTCCTACATATTTAAAAAGACAAGGGAGATGCTGGACAGCACTGCTCTTCACAATGAACCCAAGGCAGTACTTTCACAATTCCCATGACCTAATACTTCACGTTTTTATGGTAAATCAACCACTTGACATACACAACTTACTTCTGGGGCTGGAGCTTAACAGTAGAGCACATGCCTAGCAAGGAAGACGTCCTGAGTTTAATCCTCACAATCCCCTCCCGATTTGCTTTAAAAATAAAGATAAAACTTACAGCTTAGACTTTGTGTTACTTAGTAAGTCCTCCTCATCACTAAATTCATCATCTTTACTTTTGTCAGAGTCCAATGGTTCTTCTTCACTGCTTTCATCCTCTTCCTCCTCCTCTTCCTCTTCCTTTTTTTCCTCACTTGTCTTGTCTTCCTCTCCCAAGTAGAAGTTTTTATCAGCACTCAATCCAGGAGTTGTGTCAATTACAAACAAGGCATTGTCACAAGACCCATGTTCCGAGGCTCCACTTAATGACTCCTTTGGGTCACTACTTTCAGCAAAGCACACGGTGTCCTCCTCTTCAATCTCACTGTTTTCAGACTGCTGGCTTTCATCACTGCTGAGGACTAGTAAGACCGAATCACCTATATCCTGAGATGTATTTAGCTCAGACATGCAGAGTTTGGTGTCACACTCATGATCCGAGCTCTTTTCACTGTTCTCGTCTCCACCAACACCGACACTTGTGGGCTCTTCATCCTTACTATCATCATGGTCACTGATCTTTGTCAAGTCACTTGTTTTTACAGTGCCCTTTCTGTCTTCATTCCACCTGTCCACTTTAACAACTGCAAATGTTTGAGCTAATGATTTCATTATAGCCTCACAGTTCAGATTTGAGAACTTTGATGTGGTTTTGTTAACTGGGGAGACCGAGTGCTTCTGAGACACTGACTGCTGATGGCTAGTGTCCTGAAATTCAGAAAGGCTCTTCACTTGAGAACCTTCCTCATTAATTTTTTTTTCCTCCTCTGTTATTCCAACATCTTCACTCAAACTCTTAGAATTCTGCTTTCTTGTTTCTTTAAAAGATGCAACACTGGCCTGTTTTTCCTCTGTTATATTAAAATGTTGGTCGTTTTGCACTGATAGTACATTTTCTGAATTTCTGTGGGAGGAGTCATCAAAGTCATTATAAATTTCACTATTATAGAAATTTGGCTTATTCTTCTGAGAAAATGATCCTGCTGTTAACTGAAGGGTGTGCCTGGTATCTGAATCCTCTGAAGTCACAGAATTGCCCACAATTTGCTTTTCATTTCCTGCTATAGTCTTTGTATCTTTCTTCTCCCTCTGTACCTGTAACTTCCTCTGCATACTTTCGGCTGTTCTCTCTGGTGCAATTCCAGAGGATGAAATGTCTGAGCATGATGACTCAACGTCTGAGACAGCTTGTGCATGTGATTCTTGGCTTGGATCTCGTTGAGATTTAGAGCTGTTTTCTGTGGAAGCCACAATCCTAGAAATACCTGAGGCATGAGATTCTCCTTCAGAGACAACTTCTTCAGTAAGAGACTCATTTATTGGAGTTATTTTCTTCCTCTTCCTGCAAGTGGACCCCGGGGTGGGAGCGATGATGATCTGCCTTCTCCTAGTTATTCTCACCATGGGCTCCTGGACCTCAGACATGGAAGAGCAACCTGACTCTGCTTCAGAGGCATCTCCATCGGAGAGTTCAATGACCTCTGCCAGGGAGTCTGCGGTTCTGCCCTTCCTCCTTCTGGTTTTGGGAATTCTGGGGGCTGAACTTTGTTTCTCCGTCTGTGGTTCACCAAGACTCTGGCCATCATATCCAGATTCGGTCCTGCCTTTTGGATGTGCCTGAATCTCTTCAGCAGCAGACTTCTGCAAACCAAAGAAAACACTGTCATTTAGGTGGGGCTGGGACAAGGCAAAGCAAATGAGGCGCTGCCCGACGAGCAAAATTCAACAGGGCACTAAAAAAAAAATATATATATATATATATATATCTCATCAAGGAAGATCACACGCACACACACGAGAACCCAAACACATGACTTAAATAAAATACATAACTGTTGGGTCCGGGCCTCCATCTTCTTTACGTGCCTCCCTAGACCTGGCTCTGACTTCAAAAAGCGGAATAAGTAATTGAAACGAGAGTGTTTTCCCCACTTAAGTACTCGTCCCGCCTTTTGTCGGAGACGGGAGAGGGGACACATCAGCTCGGAGCAAAGACGCGCTAAGAAGCTCAGGTAGCTTGGCCGCCCGAGCCTCAGACACGCGGGGCCGCAGCTCTGCGCCTTGGGACAGCAGCGCACGTGGCGGCGGCGGGCGACCCCGCCCGGCACCTGAAGGCACCACGAAGCCTCCGCACGCGACAACCCCAAGGACCAGGCCAGCAGCGTGCTTAAGGTGGCGCCGCGCCACCTGGTCCTCGGCAGACCTGGTCCTTGGCAGGCCAGGTCCCGGCTGGCTCACCGCGGCGTGTTCGACCCTCCATCCTCCTCCTCCGCCCGACCCTCGCGCCGCCCCGCGAAGCGAGGAGAAACAGAGGTCCAGGGTTTTCCTACCTTCTGCCAGGTGCTTGTAGCCGACGGGACTGGGACACCGGCCCGATAGCGGGCCGACCTGGTGACCACCATGTTCCCGGCTTCCCGGCAGCCTCCGCGGCTTCCGTCGGCATGGGTCGACGGAAGTGCGTCAGAGTAGTGCCCTGCTCGAACTTTTCGGGCGGATCCCCGCGCTCGCGGGATTCTCGTTCCGGCCTGGGCCTCGCAGCCCTGGCAAGTGCGGTGCGGGATGGAGCGCTCAGCTCCGGGGCTTAGCGTCGGTTGCGTCCTGGTGACAGCGACACCGGGCCTTCGTCCCTGTCTTACCCAAATCCGGAAAAAGACCATTCGCCCCACTTCCCACTTGTCATCCGTTCAGTTAACTTTTCCGGCGGTGGCGATTGAATCCAGCACTTGAGCCGCGCCCCGGCCCATTTGCTCCATTATACTAACGACCGCGATGTAGTCGGGTCGGTGGCCAAAAGGAGCTTTTTCTTTATTGTATTATTATTTTTTTTAATGTACTCGTGTATTTTTTGTTTAGCTAAATATGTTAGACCTCTTTGAAACAGACAACAGTGTTTTTCTTAAAGTCACAGCACAGGCCTTTTGCTAGACACCTGGCGTCTGGGCTAAACAGCTCCTATCAGTTTCCTGAGAAGCGAGGTACAGTTAAGTGACCGAGGCACATCAGGTGGCAGTTCCTTCAGGGAAGTGTTTCCAAAGACAGGAGCCCTCCCCGACTTCTCAAGTTGTTTTTTAATTTTTTAAATAATGTTTGCTGACTTTCAGGCAGCAGAGACCCTGAGTCTGAGGTTGTGCACAACAGTGAGAAAGGGGGGAGAAAAACCAAACAAATCAAGATGGCCTGCAAACCCCTGAAGGAGGATGGCTTAGTGACCTGTAATGAAAACAGCATGACACTTTCGAGTTTAGGTTTTCAAAAAGCTGACTTCCATGTTGTTTCCTCCCCATGGGTCACCCCGGGGTGGCTGGCTGTCCTATGGCAGGGACCATGGGGGTGAAGAACCAAGAGACGACTGGCCTACAGCCAGGGGGAAACTGAGGCCTCAGGCTGACAGCCTATGAGGAAGCAAGTCCTGCCAGCCAAGCAAGGGAGCTTGGAAGCGGACCAACCTTCAGTGACACCATAATCAACACATCAACTCTGTTTTTAAAATTTCATGCACAGAAATGACAGCAGGGACTGTTTTGTCTCTGACACCTTTGCAGTACCTTTGAGACTCACTCGCAGTATGGTGAACACCAGGAGTTCATTGTTCTTGTCATGTGGTATTTCACAGTCAGTTCTTCTATTCACCTGTTGACAGCAGAGCTGTCTCCAGGTGCTATGCGAAGCACTGCCACACATTCCCATCTATTTCTGAGCATTACTTCTTATGAAAATGACCAGGAGTGCAGAGATCCAGTCGTCTGCTAAGTGTACATGTCTTTTCTGTAGTGGCTGTTGACTTCTACCAGAGTGTGGGTGCTCACCGTTCCCATCCTCACCCAACACTGGGCATCTGTCCGTAGTCTTTTAACTTTTTGGTTGTTGTCGTGATACCTTGCTGTAATCAAATCTGCATTCCTGGTGACTGATGACATGGATTATCTGTTCATGTTCCTCCTGGCTTTTCAGATGTCTTCTTTGGAGGAAAAGGCCATTCTAACTGTTTTTTTTTATTGGGTAGCATAAGTAGTAAGATCTCTTTAGATATTCTAGATATGACTTCATCAGATATAACTTATGAGTATTTATCCCATTTTGTGAGCTGTCTTTTCATTATCTTGATGGTGTCCCTCTGAAGGGCAATTAAAAAATTGATTATGAACAGTTTATAAATATAAATCTATTTCAGGTATTTCCAAGTCTGTGACTTGCATCCTCATTTTGTCTTTCAAAGAACAGATTTTCATTGTGATGAGTGCTCATGTTATCAGTATTTTATTTTGGGATTATTTTTGTTGTTAGAGAGTTTTTCAGTCCGCCAGAGCTGGAGCACTAGCATAGTGAGGTAGAAGCCCTGTGTTCAATACCCAGAACCCAGGGCTGCTGAACAGACAGCAAACAGGTAAGCAAATAAAAGCTCACAGGCTTGCACCAGCAGATTGCCTAAGGATTCACTGCAAGAAAGCTTTGCAGGCAGTTTCAATCTTCTCATTGTTATAACTCCCTAACAATCAAAATATACTGAAATTTTTAATTAAAAAAGAAGAATCAAAGAAAGTCCAGATTACTACTAGAGAGGAGATCCAGATTTTCAGGGGTGGATATGCTGCAAGTCGTGCAATGTCATCTTCCAGATACTGAAGGAGAGTATTTAGGAATTTGGAATTCTATGATGTCATCGATCATTTAAGATTGACCGCAGGGCTGGGATACAGCCTGGTGGTAGAGAGCCTACCTAGCATGTGTGAGGCTCTGGATTCAATCCCCAGTACCACACACACCAAAGATTGAGTGCAAAATAAAGGTATTTTCAAACAAATGTGTCCTAAAAAGTTTATTGATCGTTAGCTTTCTGTCACTGGGACAAAACACCAGAGATAACTTAGAAGGAGGAAATACTTATTTTGCCTCACGTTTTCAGTCCATGGTTGCTTGGCTCTTTTAACTTTGGGTCTGTGGCAAGGCTGAACATCATGGCAGGAAGCAGCTGGTAGAGTGAAGCTGTTCACCTGTGGTGGCTATGATGAGAGAGAGGAAGGGACCAGGGTTCCATTATTCCCTTCAAGGGTGCCTAAATCCCCAGTGACTTTTTTCCCACTAGGCCCACCTCCTGAGGTTCCACCACTCCAATAGCACCATCATCAGGACCAAGTCTTTGAAATGAATCTTTGGGGGACATTTAACACTGCCCCACAGACCTGTGGTGAAAGAACTACTAAGAACATTCTTAAGAAAACAGTGAACTTAAAAGGAGTAGAATGCAAGAACCAACAGTGAGCCAAGAAGGAGGGAAAGGAGACTGAATCAAGCCGGGTGCTGGTGGCTCACTCCTGTGATCCTAGCTACTCAGGAGCAGAAATCAGGAGGATCATGGTTCGAAGCTGGCACTGGACAAATAGTTGAGACCCTATTCTCAAAAAAACCCAACACAAAAAGGGGCTAATGGAGTGGCTCAAGCTGTAAGAGCACCTGCCTAGTAAGCATGAGGTCTGGAGTTCAATCCCTAGTATTGCCAAAATACATAAATACATAAATAAAAAGATCTGATTCAGAATTACAACCTTATTGTACAATGTACTCCTTCTTAAGATATGGATGAACAGACACAGCAGTCATCTGTGACACACACATTTTGAATTTTCTGGAGTGGATCTGTGCATGTCTATATTCTGGTATTTTTAGGGGAGGTGGGCAAGTTTTTACAAGCCTCTTTCATAAAATGTGACTTTTCCAACCTGACCCCTGTGGCCTCATGGGAAGCACTCCTTTCTGTAGAACAAGCTTTTTGAAGAACACATTCTCATTCTTGTTGGAGTTACACGTTTACAGATAAATTGCTTCATTGTCCATTAAATTGATATTTACAAACCAGACAATCAAATACCTCTCCCACAGTGGCCCACCATGCCTTCTCTGACCCCTGTTGCTGAGGCCTTTTCTGTCCTCTCCCTGCCACAGGCCCACCTCCTTCCACACCCCGCCCTTCCCTCTGCTGTGTCACCCTTGCAGTTCTGCACTGCACTAATCTCCCTCTGCTCTGCAGACATGTGGACTCTTTCTGCCCATCTGTAGCACCTAGGTACACAGTGACACTCAACAGACTCTGTGGGGGAGGAACAGGTGTTATGGTTGCAGTAGTTAAGTTACTCATAATTTCAAATTCACACTCAGTTTAAGTTTAAAAGTCAATGTAATGCTCTCCAGGATGCACCCAACTTGAAATAACTCAATGTAAAACATACAGTTCATGTTTTATTTAGCTAAATTCACAGTATAGGAGAAGTAAAATTATGAATACTTAACTAAGAACACTTTATATTTTGGTTTTAGCTTCTAGTATAACCACTACAGGCACACAAGAAAAAGAATGATCTAATTAAAACACTTCCCTTCCCAAGTGTAGCTCTGATTCTGAAAACTATAAAAATATCAGTGAAAGTCATGTTACATATTTTCAAAAATCAAAACTGACAAATCCCATCAACAATTTTATGGGGAAAAGAGGTTCAAGTTTTTATTAGGAAGCTAATGATTGAAAACACAGGTTCAGAGTTATAGGCTGGTATATCTAAGTTGAAAACACAGTGGCTCAGAGGTTAAAGTACAATCAGAAGAGCCTCACCTTTCTGTAGGTGTACATTTGGCAGAAAGATGAATAGTCAGCCAGTAAGAAGTGAATGTATCAGCCACTCATATTCCCAGCGAGCACAAAATCCTGGGTGGGAAACCGAGGACGAAAAGCCTCAGAGGTGTGATTAGAATGAGCCTGAAGACCGTGTCAGTTACCTTGCTCTTTCTTTTGTTATTCGTTAATCGTTTGTTGTCCTTATGTTTTTTTTTCTTTTTTTCGGAGGTCCTCGTCTGTTTTTTTCCTTTCTATCTCCACCTACATTCCTTACTTCTTAGATTTTTTTTTTACCTTTGTTTTTCCATATTGGACCTGCATTCCCTCCTAAATCTTTAACCTATTCATATTCGCTTCTACGAATCCACCTCTTTTTTTATAGTCCCTCTTCACTTTTCTTTTTTCACCCACTACATCCTGGTTCTTGTTTCTTTCTCCTTTTTACTTCCACCTCCCTTGTTATCTCCCGCTTTTACTTGCTTCCCTCCCCTGATGTAAAACAAACACACACCCCCTTCCACTACTCTCCTCTCTATTCCTCACACTCTTTTTCCCCCTTCTTTCGTAATATTTTTCTTTTTTTTGTGATTTCCTTTCCTTGTTTTTATTCTTTTCGTTTTATTCCTCCCCTCTTTTTCCTTTTTCACCACACACACCACTGTTTTTTTTTTTATTTTTTATTATTTTTGTTATTGTTGTATTATTCCCCCCTTTTGTTCTTTGTTTGATTTTTTTTTTCCAGGATATTTCTATTTTATATTTGTTCTTGTGATTTTTATTCGCAGTCGCTTGTTTGCATTTTTCACTATTTTGATTATGTATGAGGGCTAAACGTATACCATGCCATCTTTTTGTGCTTCTGAAGTTAGTTTTCTACACTTTGTGTGAAGATTACTTTAGTTATCATGTGCTTTGGGCTGGTGTAGAGAAAAGTCTGAGCCATTCATGTGAAATAGACTGGATAACTTTTTAGTTTTGTTTTTTACACAGATATCCTAATGATAATTTTTTGAGAGCTGAAAATTTTAAGCTATCATTTGTGATTCACATTTTAGCACTGGCTATCTTAAATGGATTCTATTCACGTCCTGGCACCTTCAGAATGTGACCTTCAGAATTTACGCCATGTGAACATATTTTATAAGACAATGGTCCTTCTGGTGACCAGTTTCTTGGAAGGGAATTCAAGGCAGTTTCATCACAAATGATCCCAAGTCAGTGAGTTGTGCTAATGGAAGGCTCCAGAGCACTTGGGAATGCAGTAAGCTACAGCTGCCTTTTGTATTTACTGGAAACTTATGTAAGTTTTCTACCTTGGGTCACTGGATTCATGTCTTCCCAATAAACAGACCTGTTCAGTTCACTACTGACAACTTAGCATCAGTCTTCAGCCATTATTTTACAACATTACCCTTTTAATTTTGTGGCTTTTAAGGCATTAAATCCTTAAATATTTGAAAGAGTACTTATATATTCTGATAACTCATGAAAAAATGATGTGAAACAGCTTGAAAAATTATAAGGCCTTTAAAATGACTCATTTTTAAGGTTATTCGGTAACAGAAATTGAGGGTATAAGTGAACAAAACCACTAATTTTAGAATTCCACACATGGTCCCCTTCACAAAATGAATCTAATCTTGCTGCCTTGTCAAGAGTGGAGGGGAAGATTACAAACAAACAAGCAAACTCTGCTGAAGTTTGGGTACATTGGTAACCAATGTTTTTTTTTCAAACGACCCAGTTTTAAGTACTGGGGTTTAAACAAATGTGATGTGAAAGACCCCTTTAAAATAGCCCAGCCAGTTCAGTACACAGACTCAGGGTACAGTAGCATTTGAAGACTTATGTTATATTGAAAAAATGTGTATTTTTCATATGTGTGTAAAATTAAAGAGTTACTGACACATTTAACAACACTACAAACAATGAACACACAGGCTAGAAGGCTTCCAGACACTCACGATCTAACAAGTTTTAGAAGGTAAACCAGCTGATTTCACAGTTCTGAAGACCAAATTATCCAACCCACAAAGCTTTAGTTAGGCAAAATCTACTTTGAATATGGAACCACAGTTCTTTTCCCAGAGTTGAGAAAATTTGAGCAAAATTAGTTTTATATAGGTCTGTGGTTTGAAAATGTTGAGATACAAGAGGTTTTAAGAGAAGCTTTCAAACATTTGTGTCACAGGTATTAACCTGCAGAATTAAGGAGACCCTCAGTATACATTGGTCACAGCTGAAGACCTCTTTCTCTTCTAGCTTCAAAGTTCTGCTCTAAAACAGGTAAGACAAGGCAGGGGCAGCTCAGTGGTAGACAGCATGCCTACTATGAACAAGGCCCTGGATTCAATCCCCAGCACCAAATAAAATAAAGCAAGTTAAAGACCACATCTCAAACACTTTGTCTAAACAGACAGTGCCGGCTCTGAACCATCAAAGGTCTCCCAGCCTCTTCTGGCTTTAGTGTCTCCAAGTCAGTTATTAATGGGGAACAAACATTATGTTTTACTCAACTGGCTCTGTGTCCCCTCTCCACAGAGCCCACAGTGCTGATCACGTGACCTGCGTGCAACTGGACATTTTCCTGAAGGAAAGGTTAAAAGAATTAGAAAGACAAAAGTAGCTGCTTTTACAGACCCTAACACAGTCATTCAAAGCTTCTAGACCCTTTTTCAAGTTTACTTTGGTTTGTCTTTAGAAATAATGGAAAGAGAAAATATGGCACAATACATGGTTAAACCATCACAGCTGAACTGCAGGCAAGGACACACGAAAATTTATGTTTCCACTCACATTGAAGAATTAATTTTATTTAGCTTACTCATAGATCCCAGCTGCTCCAGTTATTCTGATATAATTATTTCATCAGTGACAGAAAAAATATCTTCCAGTATTTGTTTTAATGACTGTAATTAAATTGTTTAGTTATACAATAGAGTAGGAAGCAATTAATGAATTTTGGAAATAAAAAATATGTATATACATTACCCTGATATCTAAGCCAAAAATATTCTAACAAGTTTCTTGATTTCTATTACTCATAAAAATAAAGGAAATATACTGCAAGTATTTTCTTTATAGACAATTTCAATTAGAAAACAAAGTATGGTTCACGTGAGTGGACTGACGGAGGCAAGGCCAGTGTTCAGACCTTGATGGAAACGCACTAGAACTGGAGACTGAGCCTGGGGCACCTGGGTACCAGAGCTGGACGTGCACAGCATGGTCCGCTCTCACCGAGGAGGTACGCTGCAGTCAGGAGCCCTGCGCTTGGCCTGCAGAATGTACCCTTGGATTTGATGATGCCTCTGCTCTTGACGATGACAGAGTAGCGTAGCAGCCACAGTGGCACCCACTCCTGCGCCTGGATGTCAGGGATGCTCTCCCGAAGGGCTTCCTGGAACGTCGCCTCGGAAAGCAGTTCTGCAACAGACAAAACCCAGTTACACCGGAAAGCAAGCGCACTTCACGTAGGTGAGCATCTGCACAGCGGGATGAGCACCTCTAATGTTTAAGAGGCATGTCTCCCTGGGTCCCACTGTGATTCCTGACTTCCAGCAGCAAAGCTGCATTTGTATTTTCTGAAGATCTCTAGAGGAGTCTGACCTGCAGCCTGTAAGACACAGGGAGTAAGAAAGAGGGAAAACTCACTCCTACCCCACTAGTTAGAGGTGAGACAGCATTTCTACTCCACACACTTCCTCATGGCTTTCTTTCTAGGTGTGTGGGCATCGCTCCCTTTATATGTGGGCAATTGTTAAAACCGATTCACAAAATACTTCGTTACCTGAGAGAATGTTCATGACGGGAATGAAAACAGGTGAAGCAGTCCGTAACTGCACAATGAACTGACCTGCTCTTTCCCTCCTCAGGCAACCTGCAGTTGCATTTAGGGAGGTCCACACAACCGACACTGAGCCTAGTGCAGCAGGGCACACGACAGCCCAGAACTGAACTCGTGATTCCCCCTGCCTCAGCCTCCCAAGCAGCTGGGACTGCATACCCACGGCCATGCACCAATGTGCCTGGCTAAAGTATGACTGGAAGCCACACCACTAGGCCCCCAATACTGTACTATGGATCTATTCTAACTCACTTCCTTATCATTTCCCAGACCAATCTGCTAATGAAAGCCCCGCTGCAATCAGCATCCCGGAATGCAGTCCCCAGGGGCATGCGCACCCAAGGCTCTGCACAGGCTCTGGCAGGCTGCTCTCTACACCCTCGTAAGCACATGCAATCACTAAAAATCTCTGTTGGTATCTCGTCTTCCTAACATCCAGGTGGCTTGCTTTTAATGTTATTTTAGCATAGTCCTCGCTGACTGTCCTGCGAAGGACCACCACCCCTGACTAGACAGACACTGTTGCCCTCAGCCAGCTTTCCTCCTGTGCACATGGCCACTTAACACTTCCCACACTGATTTCATTATGTCTCTTCCCCTTAGAATGCAAATTCCAGGAAGGGGGGTTTGCCTGTCTGACTTCAGACTTAGTACCCAGAGCAATGCCAGGTTCATAGTAGGTGCTCACCTGTCTGTGGAATGAATCCATCAAGATGGAGAGATTCCATGAGGGTCAGAGAAACCACACGACAGGAAGGAAGAGACCATCACAGTGTGACCTGGGGTGTCTCAGGACCCACTTGCCCCCAAATAAATGGCTATCTACTTGACTATCATCAATCAAATAGCTAACATTAGCTACTTTTTCCCCTTCCTCTTCCTTCTCCCTCCCTTTCTCCCTCCCTCCCTCCCTTCATTTTTCTTTAACTGGGCAGTACTGGTGTTTGAACTCTGCCACTTGAGTCATGCCCCTAGCCCAATTACCATGTACAGACTCTTTTCTGAGTAATTTCCATGTATGAATTCATTTAACCCACATGTTAACTTGGGATAACTTGGCCAAGGTCACAAAGTTGGTAAAAACTTTTCATTAACAGAATGCAAATGTCTCCTTGAAAAAGCAACATTCACTGGAATTGTTCACAGACCTTAACAAGAAGAGGACCCTGAGGGAGTAGGGCAAATGTAGATTAGATTTGCCGGAAGCAGAAAGGAAAGCAAATGAAGCAGTTCTGAAGTCAGCATCTGATTGTGCCCCACTGGGTTAAGTCATCATTGTGACACGTAAGACAGTGGACAATGAAAAGTGAGGGACAAGGGCCACTTTAGAGCAGAGGCCTTCAGGGAACGTATAAATCAACTCTATTTTAGATAACAAGCAGAGATAAATGTTTTACAAGTTGGCTGCTTAAATAAAAACAACACACAATCTGAGAACTATGTTACTTATTAACTACATGCTTTTAAAATTTATTCAACTGTGTTAACCATTCAGAAAAAAAACAGGAAAAATCGAAAGCTTGGGGCCCATCTAAAGTATAGGCCCTACCTTTGGGATCATTGTGCGTCAAGAGCTGAATGTCAAACTGTTTGGCAAATGCAGTCAAGTCAGGTGGCATCACACAGCAGGAGGCAAGGTTAACTTGGTTACTATTTGGTTTTACCTAGAAGTGAAAATAAAATCATGACAGCTTTACAAAATTAAGTAATACAGAAAGTAATACACAATAAAAGGACTTAATTCCAGAATTCATGAGAAATCACCCTCTGTGATGATTCAAGTCTACAAACATTCTATGTGACTATCTCTGTCAACAGGTGCTTCTCTAGCCCATCCTAGTGGTAATTTTTACCACTAGGATGGAGGGAAGGAGGGAAAACCAAGTTTCCTGCTGGAACCAGGCAGCAATCTAATGCATCGACCTTGGAAACAAGCACCGTTCTAAGTGTAATGGTGTCAGTAACAGGAGTGTGTCTTAAAGTGGAGGATAATCCAAGTAAGTGCACTTAATGTCAAGTATAAAATATGGCCACTAATCACACACGTTCTGACAGAGGACTCAGTGGCGTCCAGCAGCTGCACTGGTCAGTACATCCTGGTTAACACATCTTGGGTTGCCCAGGCCTCTCCCAGTTTCTTGGCCATGTCCAACCAACCATGTCAAAGGAAGAAGGGGCCATAGTTTCTCTATGGTCTTCCTACCCGTAAGAAACTCTGAACACTCTGAAAAGAAGGCTAGGAATGAAGTAAAGGAAAGAAGAAAATACAGAGTAAAGGTAAAATACTAACCACTCCCCTTCTAATTTTGTGGGTTATTTGAGCACAGTTGGGGTGAGAGACTTATGATACCAGTGCATATCAAGCTGTGCACACCGAGTCTTATGCATCCTTAAATAAGAGTCAGCAAAATATTTGTTATACAATGTTTCCTTGCTTAGGAAATTAGATGTATGGCCTCATAATACCTAAAGAAAACTGCAACATCTTTGTCACATATATAAAACTGAAGGAAAAAGCCTAAATTCATTTGGCATGAAAACTTTCATATTTTCTAGTATTCTTCTCACTTTGTGTGTGTGGTATTGGGGTTTGAACTCAGGGTCTCATGCTTGCTAGGCAGACACTCTACCACTTGAGCCACTCTACCAGCCCTTTTCGCTTTAGTCATTTTTCAGATTGGATCTTGAATTATGTTCGTGCAGCCAGGACAGTGACTCTTCTTTACGCTTCCCATGTAGCTGGGATGCACCATGCCCACTGTGACCAGTTGATAGAGGTCTTGACTTTTCTGCCCAGGTAGGCCTCAAACCGTGATCCTCCTAATCTCCATCTCCCAAACACCACTGTGCCATACTGATTCTGTCATTTTAAATGCGATTAATACTCAGTGCAATTAGATATACATATTTTTAAAAACTCAACCCCTGCTCCTGGAGATAATGCTGCCTGAGAACCCCCACATTTGTAGTAGTCATGGAGTGGTGAGCAAGCACTCTGTGCCCACAGCTGCAGAGTGCAGGTCCCTCCCCAGGGCCCAGGGTCCACGTCCTTCACCTGTGCCCACTGATACAGCTGCTCCAACTGTGTTTTGTCCAGATCAGAGGTTCCTATAGCAACAATTTTCTTGCTTTGAACCAGGTTTTCTAGTTCCTCCAGTAAGGCTGTAAATGCTCCAAGGACAGATTGACTCCATCTTCAATAGGGGGCGAGGCAATAATAACGGAATCCAGCTGTGCGACTCCAAGGACTGAGCAAGCTGACAAGAATGAGAGGCAAACAGGATAGATGCTTATTACAAGTGCAACTAATGTCCTCAAGGTGTCCACTAAATCCTGCCCAGACAGTCGTCTACTGTTGTCCTACACAACACCTTTCATTTAGAATGTTTCCATCTTTAGCACAATGCAAGTACCTATTCACCTCCTCTCTGTTTCTCTGACCGGCCTCATCACTGGGAGCCCATAGCCACAACAGGCTCTCTTTCTGGGGACAAACGCCTTCTCATTTCTTATAGGTCCTCTCCATCTACATTCCCTCCAGGTCTACTTGCTCACGGGTGCTCCATATGGATGACTGTGAGAATGCTTCCTTAATATTCTGTAACTGGTAATCATAGTTAAGGCTCTGGAGAACTAAGTCGGTGTTTACAGAGGCAGATAATTTAGTAATTTCTATAAAAAAGAATTTAAGACTTTATTCGAAATGATTACTCTTCACTCTACAGTTGCATTAAAGGACCAGTGGTTTAAGTATTCAACATATATAAATACTGGAAGAATGTTCTAAAAGAAAATACCATAGTAACCTAACCAAGTGCTAAAACTGGATACAAGATACATGGTTTTGTTGTTGCTTCGTTATGTCACCTACAGTACTAAAAGGTTCAGACTATGATGATGCAGAACTTCTATTCCAAAACACGATTAGCATTTAAATGTTACATTTTTATATTTCTCTTATATATCTAAATATGACCCTAAATAAGTCAAGAGGATTCTACAGAAGGTGTTTGAACTCAGGCTGGAGTTCTGAAAATTAAATCAGCTCATTTTCTTTCTGCCTAGACTTGGCACAAGCTGTAACACATGTAAAGAAGCTAAAGCTTTGCTTACCCATGTCAACTGCATTTCTGGTTGAAGACGAGGAGTTTGATCCCACAATGAACAGCTTTGCTGGGTGGTGAGGAAAACAAAGTCGATCACTACACTTGGGCACAGCCTAACTGGACAATATCAACCTATAGAAAACCCTCAAGTTTCCTGTCCTAGTCACATAACTTTAAGACAGAAGTATATTCCCCTGTAATTTTAAAATGATATGCTATCTGCCAACAAGTATGTTTAAGAACAAAAGCAAATACTAACTTTTCACTTACCACGAGGCAGCTCAGATCAAGTATTTGAAATATGGAGATAGATGCACGTAAATGTTTGCTTATATTTTGTTTTTTTGGGTCACTCTGTGACCCAGGCTGGCCTGGAACTCATTATGGAGGCCCAGGTGAACTAGACCTTGAGATATTCCTCATCTCTGCCTCCTGAGTAGTTAGGATTACAGGCGTGAGCCACAGGTACCCAGCCTGGCTTTCGTTTTTAATACCTGAAGATAATTCTGTAATTTTGATAGAGTATAGTTCACCAAATGAGTTTCTGCTTACTGAACTTTAAGTTAGTAGTTCCAGCTTCCTAGTAACATATATAATTCTAAAACATCTTGGTAACTTTACCCATTCAGGTTTATACTGAGCAATTTCCCAAGGCTGTATAGTCAGAAATGTGATTATGAGTGAAAGGATTTGACCTTTCTTGTAAGCCTTCTTCATTTTGTTACCTTTTAATTTATAAACAATGTCACTAGGTGACCAGACCACCAACAGTGACAACTGCTCTCCTAACAAGATAGGATGCTCAACCAGTGCCCCCAAATCTGAAAACCTCTGAAGTCTAAAACATTTCTGCTCCCAAGTATTTAGGGTAAGGGATATTTAATCTATCCTGAAGGGATTTTTTTTAATTTAGTAGGTATACTATGTACCTGTCCAGGACCACATTATTTGGTGTTTCTTTGGTTACCAGGAAAGCTGAGTCACTCCTGATATAGAAAGCTTATAACACAGGTAAGACTGAGGCTTTGGCCTGATTTAAACTCAGTTTCATACGTACATGTTTACTTTATATAAACTCACTGCTCAAATATCCAAATTTACTCAGCAGAAAAACAGTAGGACTAGTAGGAGAGCTTCTTGCTCCCTCAGAAAGGAGAGTGGAGGAAATTTTACCAAAGGTGACTAGCATTCGGCATCTGACACATGGGTTCTTGTACATTTCTTATGTCTGTCCCTTCCTGTCTACTGCTAGGTGGTCTACCTGAAATGCTGCTTCTTCATGTTACTCCCTATCAGGTAAGTCAATGTTCACCATTTGGTCCAACGCTGGCTACCATAATTACATTGTGTGGAATCCTTCCCCACCACTATCCCTTGGTCCAAGAACTTGGCCATCTGAAATGTCTCCTCTGAAAGAGAAGCCATTTTTAGATACGTAGAAGGTGCAAAGTTCCTTATGTACGGAGACTTTTGATCTTAGCCCTTCGGGAACTGAGGACAACTTGTAAGTCATCCAAGAAAAATCTCCATCAGGATGAATTATAAACAACCACATACACAAAGTTGACTTTACTTCCTTTCTTACAGTCAGCAATGTGAAATTAACAAAAAGAAATGGGTTTTGGAGTCAGGCATACCCCAAGCAGGCTTATCTGGTTCAACCACTTACTGGTTGTATGACAACTTTCTTTTCTCTTTCCTAATTGATGGGGTTTCACTATGTTGCCCAGGCTGGCTTCCAACTCCTGGGCTCAAGCAATCTTCTTGTCTCAGCCTCCCAAGTAGTTGAGACTACAAGTGTGTGCTGCCACACCCAGCTGTATGACAACTTTCAAGTTATTTAATGTCACTAGTGTAACGAGATGAGATCTATCTTGCTAGTTTTGATAATTACAAGAGGAAATCTCACCATAAAATGACAAGTACAGTACCTAGCATAAAGTAAGACTCAATAAATAGTAGTTATTATTAGAATCAAAAAAAGTGCCCCATCTCATCACAAGTCTGCCTCAATGACCAAAACACAACATGGCAACAAGTAATGGCCACCTGGCACTTACTCTGTGGCAGTCACTGTCTAGCTGCATGCTTCTTGTGATATTTCATCCAATGTATAAGGAAGCTGTGAAATGACTGCATCCCATTTTACATATGAGGAATGTAAGGCCCAGAGGATAGACACTTGCTAGCCCAGGAAGACAGCAGCCGGTTCTCTGCATACACAGGAATGTCAATCAAGCAAGCTCAAGACGTCAATGACTCTGTCCTGCTGACTGGACGCTGAGGGCAAGGGCAGCATGGCTTCTCACCTTTGGTTCTGGAATGCAGCAGTCACTACATGTGCTGAATGGGTCTAATATGTACTTCCTTCCTTTCCATGCAACTAGTCCAGACTTCCTTCCACTATTTCCAGGCCACCTTGGGCATGGCTTACCACTACCTCTCCAGGAGGGAGGACTTGTATCTGCTCTAGAGACACTGCTTCCAAGCCTCCCCTTTGTCCTTGCTGTTTCTTCCACCCTCGCCTTTCTGTTGCTCTGAACACACATGAATTACATGACGTAAGGATAGCAGGCTGAAACTTTATTCTGACTCCTCTGAAGGAGTAGGCAATGATTTCCTATCACTCCACCTTAGGAGGTGACGTTACAACTATATTAAAAAGTCTTTGTGTTTCTCACACTTGGTGACCGAAGCACTTGTTTGTTACTGAGCAAAGAAAGGCTATTCCCACGCCTGACAAAGCCACATTCCAACTGTACAGGGAGTGAACAGTAAGGCTGACTTTTACCGGAAACTTTCATTTCTTCTCTTTCATCAGGGTTTATCTTTTCTACTGCATGAGATACAGTGCATTCCAGGACGTCCGGAAACTCCTGTAATGAACATGACATCGACAATAAACATCAAATCAATGTTTCTGATTAATTGTAAAATTCCCTGTTGTCCACAAAGACCTAAGACAAGAGGACTCTGAACTTGAGGTCTGTGGGTTTCATAGGGTGTTAATTCCTGACGTAAAGGCAAAACCCATGTGTGTGTCTTTCCATCTTCTGAAAAAAATATACTCATTTTGATTGAGGACTCAGCAGGAAGCATGACCAAAAGATAAAAAAAAAAAACGAAACAAAAAAACAAGCAGGGGAGGGAGATATGAGGAGCAAAAACCACTAGCACAGCAATTTTACTTAAAAATAAACCAGTGAAAATAATATGCACTTGAATACCGACATGGTAAAAACCTTCTACACTAATTACAAACTTTATAAAAAGTTTCTGTTCCTTTGGATTTTAATGTCATTGAAGTTTAACCTGTAAGTGGACTTAGGTGTGTTTTTAGTAGAGCTGTTTTAGGTTCACAACAACATTGAGCAGAAGGTACAGAGATTTCTCCTTTACCCTCTGCTCCCCCATCAGTGTCATTTGATGACACATCAATGGGGTCATGCTTGTTACTGTTATGTGTAAATGACATGAGCCCACCATTAGAGCATCAGTGAGTAGCAGCATGGTAGCTTGGTCACAAGAATCCTGCGTCTACCTTCATTCTTCCTTTCCACCCAACCCTGGCAACCACTGATCTTTTCACTGTCTCCACAGTTCAGCTTTTTAGAGTGGTAAGTAGCTGGAATCATACAGCATGTGGCCTTCTCAGACTGACTTCTCTCACTTAGTAATGTGCACTTAAGTTTCCTCAGTTCTTTCATGGCTTCAAGGCTCGTTTCTTTCTAGCACTGAATAATATCCTATTGTCTGGATGCACCATAGGTCATATATTGAAGGCCGTCTTGGTTGCTCCAGACTTTTGGCAATTGTGAGAAAAGCTGCTATAAATGTCTGTGTGCGTTTTTTTGTGAGCATAACATTTCAACTTGTTTGAGCAGATACCTAAGAACAAGCTCTCTGGATCATGTGACAATAGCATATATAGTTTGTAATCACAAACATTTTTAAGTGACCAAAAAGTGCCATCCAAATGCATCATAATGAGTAATTTATGAGGACAATGATATCAGTCAGAAGCATTAACTTACATAACAAGATTTGACAAAGTAAACAGCAGTGTCTTTCCCATGATTTGTGAACACATTACAACACCTAGCAAGAACGGGGAGCTTAGTGTTTATGAAGTCATGCATACATGCAATGCTCTTTTCAGATGAATAAAAATCAAAGACATTAATCAATGTCTATATAGCAGCTGTAATTAAAAACTTGCTATATCCAGCACTTGTCCTCTTATAATTTTAAAGTAGTCTATAATTTAATATGAGCCTTTGGTTGAGTTGGATTTCACAGACATTTTGTATATTAATATTCATGATTCAGTCATATACTGCTGTCTAATGAAATACAATTCCTTATTATTTCATCAGAAACTGACATTTTAAAAAGAATTTTAGCCACTGTATTATGGGGGTGATATTCTACCAAGGCAGTCTACCAACCAATGTGTCTGATAACCATCCCTCTGCTAGACTATGTGTCACGTGAGGAAATTTGGGATTAAGCAGAGGAGTCCTACCTGAAGAGCCAGATCCTTCTATTCTCTGCCTGTTCCTACAGACCAGGGGGCCATCCTGACAAAAGAGGCACAGAGGCTGACGGCTAACAACCTGTTTGACTTCCCTCCCTTGTAAAATGGGATGCAGTTATTTCACAGGCTTCTTTAAAAGTTGGATGAAATATCAAAAGAAGGAGTAGCTAGACAGTGATTGCCACAAAATAAATGCTTCCTGCTTTCTTCACTTCCTCTTTGACCTGCAAGATTTCCACACTCACATTCCACTTACCCTGACCAGCTCTGGGCTGATTTGGGAACTCCACTCATTCAAGGTCTTTTGGATACAATCTCGAAGCTGCAAAAGAAATGCATTTTGAAACTGTTCATCAAAGGCTCTTCAATTCTCATATTTGTACAAGTTAAGTGAGAAGAATAGTTATCAATAGGAAAAACCATGCAAATCCATTCTACAAGGTTTTTGTTAACTTCAACATAAACTCAGACCTATTTTGATTCTACTCTTAATTTTCACACATTCTTGATCTAAAATAGTAGTCTATTTTATAGTGTTTTATACCAATAAAACTCACTTTTGCAGGGTGCCGTGACTCACGTCTGTAATCCTAGCTACTCAGGAGGCAGAGATCAGGAGGATCACGGTTCAAGGGCAGCCCAGAGAAATAGTTCTTGAGACCCTATCTTGAAAATATCCAACACAAAAAAGGGCTGGCAGGAAGGCTCAAGTGGTAGAGCACCTGCTTGGCAAATGAGAAGCCCTGAGTTCAAAACCCCGTACCATCAAAAACAAAACAAAACAAAACTTTTAACTTTTGAGACATTAAAACATTCATAAGAAACAAACAATTGGCTGGTGGAGTGGCTCAAGTAATACAGCACCTGTCAGAGGCCCTGAATTCAAACCCCAATAACCTCCAAAAAAAAAAACAAAAATTATTTTAAGAATAAGGTTATAAAATAACTTGGGCCAGGTGTGGTGACACACCTATGGAATTCCAGCCTTGGAAGGTGAAGGCAAGAGGATCCCAACTTTGAGGCCAACCTGCAAGACTCTGTCTCAAAAAACAATAACAAAAGCAAGCAAACAAAATAAAAAAGAAAGTTGGATTAAGCCCTATGCTACACTCCTCAAAGACAAACAAATGACAGAGAGTAAGTGTGGCCAGAGGAACTGCTACATTAGATTCATATGTGCTGTTTGTTAAAAATTCAAGATCCTGGGCTGGAGGTGTGGCTCAGTGGTAGAGTATTTGCCAAGCATTGGTGAGGCCCTGGGTTTATTCCCCAGCACCGGAAAAAACAAATAAAAAATTCACTCCCCAGCTTAATCCTAGACCCGATGAACTCTCTCCAAGAGCAGCAAGAACTTTTCATGTTAACAGGCATACCAAGTAACTCCTATGTACTGTAAAGTCTTCAAATGAATTACCAGGATGGCTCTGAGTTTAAGACAAATACAGACAAAAAAATAAAAAGAACATATCATTTTCTAACACTTAGGTACACATCTAATCCATCTTTGTAAGTGTATTTTTTACTAATGTTATAGTATGTTGTAAGTTCACTGAAGTGTTTATTCCTATTTTACCTCATTAGTGTATTTGAAACTTACTTGATAGTGATTTGTTCATTGAGTGAAGACGTAAATTCACGTAACAGAATGAAAATTTCACAAAATGATAGTATGCTCTAGTGGCTTCTATTCTATTAATTAGAAAAAATATACTGTTCCACGACTCAATATTTTGAGTCATTTATGACTACTGACCAGCCAGCTCGAGCAGGGTTTAAAACAATGACCAAGGTCACACTGGGTAATCAATGAAAAAGTAACTAGAATGAGTAACTAGAAGCAACTCCCTGAACTGCAAAAGCACTTTCTCAATGGCAAGGACAGACTAAACTTCTGGCTGTTCTGGGATTTGAACTTGGGGCCTGGAGCTTGCCAGGCAGGCGCTCTACCACTTGAGCCATGCCTCCCGTTGGTAATCCTTCTGACAGAATCATTAATTTAAAAATTAGTAGAAGCTGAGAAGTTAGCAAGTCTATCAAGAATGCTTTGGCTCAAATCTGAGCAGAATTCTAAGAAATTTTCCTGTGGAAGAATGACTCATTATTACATAAAGCTTTCATGAACTCCTCAATTTAGGAAGGTAAGAATATTTTTAGAGAATTGGCCCCTTTCCTGCAATCATTTCCTTAATTAATCTTGGATTCTACAGGAGAAATTATTGAAAAAGTCCAAAGTTATTTAATTACTTGAGAAATTCATTGAGTGTATCACAACCTAGTGATTTTTAATCTGTAAATTACATATTACCTATACTGACTGAACATTAAACCTGCCCTTTTGGTTCCTGTTCTGTTCATTCTTACTACACACAATATCACTAAAGATAAATATCACTACACTTGGCCTATCATCAGACCTGGAGTTGCATAACAATTTAAATACCACATGACTAACACAGAGCAATAGACAGGTGAGTTTGACCAAAGTACATCGTAAGTACGTATGCAAATATCATGATGAAACCCATTTATTAGCACACATTAGTGTACATGTTTAATAAATTTTTAAAAAATATCACATGATTCAAGTGGCTGAATACCCTCCCAACAAAGAAAGGAAAAATCTTAAGATGAAAAAGACAATATTTAACTCTGGCTTAAACCTTCAGCACTGTCAAAGTGAACAATAAAACTAAATACATGTTAAAAAAACTCAGCATTTGAGTTCATAAATTCTAGTGAAACACAACATGTCAGCAAAGGTCACAGAATAAAAACAAACAAAAAAAGCCCACATTACAATTAAAGAGACCTTTGAAGAAATTTAATTGAACTCTCTATCTGAAGTGTAATTTTGTTTTAATGGTGAGAGAAGGTTTTCAGTTTCCTTGATCTCTTTTTCAAGGTTGAATTGTGTGGAGAACCACATCCCAGTGTGGAGCTCTGGTTGTTAAAAGTTCTTTGTTTGTCTAATTCTAAGTAGTGGTCAAGCTTCCTACAGGACACTGCCACCCTGGGCGCTCTCCCCAGTGGTTCCTAGCTTCCTTAGTCTTGTTCTACTCTTATGACGCACCCTAAACAAAACACTACACACCACAGTTAGTCCTTTGAACAATGTTCTCAAACTGCACATTAGTGCATTAAGAATCAAATTTTTACAAAATAAAACAAGATAGAAGACATAGTATGTAAGGGTTACCATCTCTCTGTGAGACCTTTGTTTCTGACTTATGGATGTTCACACACATAAATATAAAACTATGCACCTGGTGGGTAAGATGCGTTTCTTACTGTTTGCAGTCAATAACTGTGAAAGCTACTCTTTAGAGTGTGTGTGGTGAGATAAGAGGTTTTACCCCATGCTGCCAATCCACAGGCAAAATGCTACCCTGAATCCTACTGATGAGTGAAGAAAGTGGCAGCTCTCTATACCAAATACAGAACTACTGTCGGGAAAAAATAGTCAAAGTGGGGTGGTTTAAACAAAGCACACAGACTGAGCTGGAGCCTGAAGACAGAACAGGATAAGGATTCTGGTTCCTATTAAAGGTACCACCCAGGGCTCCCAAGGTTGCCTCAGAGGGGTGCTAGATGCTGTGCTTAGTCTACAGCCACTTCTCCCATTAAAAGAGCAGAAACCTCTCTGAATACTGCTGATCACATTGCAATATGGCAGCATTCAGGAAACATGTTCTTTTAATCACATTTGCTTATCTTTCTGGTGAACCAGGAGACAGGGAGATAAATACCTGTGTGCTGAGTGTTTTCATATTATCTTGTAATCCTCACAGCCTCAGGAGGCAGGTATTAGCCAACTTTAAAGCTATGCAGACACACAGAGGGCAACTTTCTCCTATAATTAAAGGCTTGTTATTTTTATTTTTTGTAGAAGTTTTTTTTAATCTTTAACAACACATAATAAGTGTACATATTCACTGGGAATCTTTTTAAGTCCTAAAACTGTTCCATACTACCAATATGCCTGATTAGGTTACAGTTAACAAGTGACTCAGGATTGGCCAGCAGCAAATGTGTAAAGTTTCTAATTCTGATTCCTCTGTGCCACCTCCAACTAGTAATTAATCTTCAGGCAAATAAAACAAGGCAGATTAATGTGAAGTAAGAAAAGAGTGTACCTGCTCCCAAACCAGATCTGAAAGTTTAATCATTTACTGCAATACAGAAACCAGTGTCAACATTCCAAAAAATGCATCCCGAATACGATTTCATCTGATGGATGCTGGTCTGTGTAATATTCCCTTACCTGGACAGGTGGGGGAAGGACAGGTGGGGAGGGACAAATGGGGGAGGGCCAGGACCCTGGGACTTGCAGGGATGTAAAGTTTTCTCACCTGTCAGATGCTGACCTGCGTAATATACCCTTACTGACAGACGTGTGTGTAGGAGTCCGGGGGTGGGGTGGGGCCCAAGAAGTGGGGAGAGGGTCAGAACCCCAGGACCTGCAGGGGTGTAAAGTTAACCCATCCTAAGCACGATTTCCTGTACATGACGCTGACCTGTCTAATACTCCCGTAGCTGGACATTTGGGGGAAGTACAGATGGGGGAGAGCCAGACCGCCGGGACCTGCAGGGGTCTACAGTTAATGCATTCTGAACACTATCTCACCTGTCAGATGCTGCCCTGTGTAATATCCCCTTACTGGACAGGTGGCACCAAGAAATGGGGCGAGGGCCAGGACCCCAAAACCTGAAGGGGTGTATGGCTGATGCATTCTGAACGCTAACAGTCCCTTAGCTGGACGGGTGGGGAAGGACAGGTGGGGAGGGACAGGCCCCCGGGACCCATGGGGTGTGAAGTTAGCACATCCGGGACTGACTTTCCGTGCAGAGCTGGCCTAGCTGGACCGCGGGACAGGCGGGGGCAGCTCACCTCCTCGCTGTGCGTGGACGGGCACTTCTTGCGCAGGCGGCCCCAGTTGAGCAGGTTCCCGGTCTGCAGGTGCAGCGTGCGGGCGCGCGCCAGGAGCGCCCCGGCCGCGCGGCTGTCGGTGCCCATGGCCGCCGGGCGGGAGGCGGGAAGGCGGGAAGGCGGCGGCGGCCGCGCCGGACGCGGGCCGGCGGGAGGAACGCGAGGCCGCGGCCCGCGCGGAGCTCGGTGTGCGCTGGCGGAGGAGGCCGGCGGCCGGGCGGAGGCGGCGGCGGCGGCGGCGGCGGCGGCGGCGGCGGCTCGGCACAGCGGAGCTGTTTCCTGGAGACGATGACGAAGCAGAAAGCGCGGCCGAAAAAGTGCTTCGTAACCGTTACTCGGCCCGCGGCAGGGCGGGGCGGGGCGGGACGCGGAGGTGAGGGAGGGCGCCGAGGGCCGCGGGAGACTGGCCCGGGCCTGCGGCGGGCGGGGCGGGGCAGGGGGCGGGGCGGGGCAGGGGGCGGGGCGCCGAGGGAGACTGGCAGGGGCCTGCGGAGAGTGGGCATGACAGCGTAAGGGGGCGTGGCCGGGGCGGGGCAAGGGGCGTGCAGGAGGCGGCGGGCTCCCCCTGCCGGTCAGAGCGCTGCGCGGCAGGGAGCTCAGCGCGGCAGGGAGCTCAGCGCGATAGGCTTCACCAGGGCTCCGTGCCGCGGGCTCCCCCTGTCGCGAGGTGTAGGGAACACAGCATGGCCGGGCCTTTAACATCCACCCCGCAAGCAGCGAGATGCAGCGTGGGGGACCCCTCCTTCCGTTCGGGGCATGGAGTGCAGCGTGGCGGGCTCCCCTTTTGACCAGGGGCAGCACTGTTGGCTCCCCCTGCCGTTTGGGGCGCAGCAGTGGGGCTCCTCCTGCTGTTTGGGTGCAGTCCACTGTGCTGCAGATGTCCACCTAGGCCTCTTCCACAGGAGAGCAAAGGTGCAGGAAGGCCTTGAAGACCAGTGGTTCCGGGTTCGGTTGTTCCCTGCCTTGCTACCTGCAAGAACGTTCCCCAAACTACTAACTTTCTTCAGGTCCATTCATTAAAGGCCTGTTGGTTTTCCCTATCTGCTGGCACTGTGTGACATCAAAGAAAACAATTTAATCTTTGTCCTTGAGAGGCTTAAACTTGAGTTCCAGAGACAGGGCAAGCCATGAAACTGTAAGTCATAATAAAGAATAGAGGGCCAGGTGTGATGGTGCACATCTTATCCAAGCTACTTGGAGGCAGAGGTAAGAGGATCACAGTCTGAGGCTGAGCAAAAGTCCTAGCTCCTAACTGAAAAAGCAAAAGGACTGGGGGCGTACCTCAAGTGGAGGTAGAGGTCTGTCCCAGGACGGGCAAACTTAAAATGTGTGTGTGTGTGTGTCACGGGGGAGTTAGTCTCCAGGTGCACCCAGAATAAAGAGAACAGGTGAGATCACAGAAGCCTTTACTGCTCCCCCCTCGCAGGTGGCTGTGATTCTTTACCACTGTTCACCTTGGTGTTACACAGAACAGAACATCGTGGAGCTTTTCTCAATAAGCCTTTGAGTTTATTGGGGTGAATGAGAGCTATTAAATGGCAAAGCTATCCTCATGATAAGGGGTCCAAAATCTACTAAAAAGAGAGGTGAATTTGAGTTGGTAAATTGATAAGAAATAGGAATGGAGCAGAAATAGGAATTAAGCCTCCTGCTGCGTACTTGTTGGTGCACTGGGTGTCCGGAAGAGTTCACTGATGAGAAGGGTAATTCCAGAGGCAAGAACTAGGTCTGGTGGAGGCGGCTCAAGTGGTAGAGCGCCTGCCTAATCAAGCATGAGGCCCTGAGTTCAAACTCCAGTACCATCCTCCCACCTCAAAAAAACCAAAAAGAGCTGGCAGAAGCAAGAACTAACTTGGGCTACCATAGCGGATGCAAGCATTGGATTCTCCTGCTAAATTTGCTGTGGTATCGTTGCTTGTCTTCTTATATATTCTCTAACTCCATGCAAACAATGGCTGACTAAAGCTTAGGGGGTACAGATCGTAAAGTATTACGCCTACCTTCTTTCTAGGAAGTTACCGAACAGGTTGGTCAAGAATGTTGGCGCTGACATAAACTTGGCTTTACCAGGTGCTATTTTATTTTAGACAAGTCTCTCTGTGTTCTGCTTTCTTCAAACCAGGAAGGTCATAGTTTAAACTATCATGAAGCTGTTGATAACTGGCTGTTTTTAATCTATGGACATGGAAAGTCCCAGGATCCCACCTAATGTCATACAGTAGTGCTGGGTCTGGAGACCTAAGGCAGATGAGTGAGTATCCCACCCCCCATGGAAGGCACTAGCATTCCTGCATCTGAGGAGATGGAGGCCTGCATTCCTGCGTCCTAAAGGAGAGATACACATCTGCCACAGGGCTGATGAGCAAAATGCTCTCAAGATTGATTGTTCCCTTCCCCCAATAAAGGTGCTAACCAAACCAGTTCACCTGAGAAAGCCCTCAAATCCACAGCCAATGAGAAAAACCCACCTAACCCAGAGCTGGGACGTCCATAAAAGCCCCAGCCTTCACCTGAGCAGCGAGCTACGGGCTTCCGGGCTCCACTGCACTTCTCTAGCTGTAGCCTTTCCTTTCTCTAATAAATCCCACTTTATATACCGGCTTTGGCTCATCATTCAGCTGCCTCGAGAGCCAGTTCCTTGCCTTCACAGGCCAGGACCCTCGATGCCTGCCTGTAGCACTTCGACACCGGCACGTAACAGTAGGGTGAGGCGGTCATCAGAAGAGGTGCAGAAAGCCCTCGTTCCCCTACTTGGCTTGTGGTGAATGCTCAGTATTTGAGGGGGGGGGGGGGGGGGGGGGGGGGGGGGGGGGGGGGGGGGGGGGGGGGGGGGGGGGGGGGGGGGGGGGGGGGGGGGGGGGGGGGGGGGGGGGGGGGGGGGGGGGGGGGGGGGGGGGGGGGGGGGGGGGGGGGGGGGGGGGGGGGGGGGGGGGGGGGGGGGGGGGGGGGGGGGGGGGGGGGGGGGGGGGGGGGGGGGGGGGGGGGGGGGGGGGGGGGGGGGGGGGGGGGGGGGGGGGGGGGGGGGGGGGGGGGGGGGGGGGGGGGGGGGGGGGGGGGGGGGGGGGGGGGGGGGGGGGGGGGGGGGGGGGGGGGGGGGGGGGGGGGGGGGGGGGGGGGGGGGGGGGGGGGGGGGGGGGGGGGGGGGGGGGGGGGGGGGGGGGGGGGGGGGGGGGGGGGGGGGGGGGGGGGGGGGGGGGGGGGGGGGGGGGGGGGGGGGGGGGGGGGGGGGGGGGGGGGGGGGGGGGGGGGGGGGGGGGGGGGGGGGGGGGGGGGGGGGGGGGGGGGGGGGGGGGGGGGGGGGGGGGGGGGGGGGGGGGGGGGGGGGGGGGGGGGGGGGGGGGGGGGGGGGGGGGGGGGGGGGGGGGGGGGGGGGGGGGGGGGGGGGGGGGGGGGGGGGGGGGGGGGGGGGGGGGGGGGGGGGGGGGGGGGGGGGGGGGGGGGGGGGGGGGGGGGGGGGGGGGGGGGGGGGGGGGGGGGGGGGGGGGGGGGGGGGGGGGGGGGGGGGGGGGGGGGGGGGGGGGGGGGGGGGGGGGGGGGGGGGGGGGGGGGGGGGGGGGGGGGGGGGGGGGGGGGGGGGGGGGGGGGGGGGGGGGGGGGGGGGGGGGGGGGGGGGGGGGGGGGGGGGGGGGGGGGGGGGGGGGGGGGGGGGGGGGGGGGGGGGGGGGGGGGGGGGGGGGGGGGGGGGGGGGGGGGGGGGGGGGGGGGGGGGGGGGGGGGGGGGGGGGGGGGGGGGGGGGGGGGGGGGGGGGGGGGGGGGGGGGGGGGGGGGGGGGGGGGGAGCGCTGT